AATGAGATTTGGTTCCCATGTAATGACATTTTCCATAATAACTGCTGATATCATTGAGGTAAAGAGAGCTGCTTTTCCTAACTACCCATAAAACAATTTAGCCTTTTATATTTCTACCTCTCCTGGATAGTCTAATCTCTCCCCACTGTGAGTATGACTGACTCCACAGTATTGAAATCTGGGCTCTAATTGGGAATCCATTGAACAAGACTTCAGTGAATGAACTTTTTTAGCCATTTTATATAAAATGAAAAAGGATCTGCTCCTCATTTCAATCTCCTATACAATTGCTCTGAACAGTAGTACAGAATCGTAGAGATAGATCATTGAGCAATCTGGCTTTTCGTCTAAGACATACTTAACAAAAGTGTATGTTTTGCACTTTTTTCCAAGAGGCCCTATTTAAAATGTAAATCTTGGGACCTTTCAGGAATGTTTAATGAGCTTGAGGATCTTTTAATGCTAATAACATCTGAATTTGGAATTGCTTAAATTTACCTTTTATTTTCTCTTCCACTTTTCTCTCATTTTGCAATAAAGTAGAACAGCCAGATTAGTGTAATTTCCCTGAAAGTCATTTTTATGATTTGGTTTGTGTTAGTGAGAATGAAATATTAATTCACTCAGGTTCCCTTAGTAATTAAGTTAGCAATATCACTTTTTCCATCATTTCTTAGGTTTCATTTCTCATTGCTGTCTTCTTACAGAGTTCATCAGTGGGTTTCCAAGTAATTGGTGAAGGAACAAAAGCAGTTTCATAGCCGTTTGAAGTTACGTGGAGTGTTTACACGGACCTTTCCTCGGGGACACATTATAAACACAAACTAGCCAAGGCTATCTGATAATACTGCAAAGAGATGGTTACATCAAAATGGTGAAATAGTTATACTCTTTATTTTTATTTCTCTGGTTATTATACATTCACATATATTTTACCTTATAAATTACACACATTCTACTAATGTAAGCCCTGGGAGGTGGGTTGCTGGCAGGGGAGGGAGGATGGAATTGTGATTTTTGCGGTGACTTTCTCAGGGTCACACAAGATCTTAGTTTAAGCTTGGGACTAGATCTTTGTTGGAGTGGGCCCTTTTTGTCTATGATGGGCAATAATGCTGCCCTTTAGCTCTATTGTTATTAATACTTGATCTCCCAAAATATGAACCATGATGATAGCAACAGGACCATCCCCAGGCATTTCTCATTGTCTGTCCCATCCTGGTACTGTTTTGTTTGGAGGGAATATTTGGATAGTTTATTTTAATAGTGTTCCAATGCAGATTGGCTCGATTTTAGTTCAGACTATATTGCGAGAAATGAGAGAAAGAGACAGAAATCAGAAGTCCTGTCAAAATTTTTATAAAAAGGAAAAATAAACCACCTGCCAGGCACTGAGTTAGGATCTGCAGGGCCAAAGACACAGAAGACTTTCTCCCCTCAAAGGGATCACAGTCTCAGAGGAGAAAAAGACAAAATTACAAATTCAGTGTGCTAAGTCTTAGGTTAGAGCTATATAGAGTACACCCTGTCAATATTGTGAAAAGAAAAAAGGAGTCTTCCCCACTGGTGGGGGCAAGAAGGGAAGACTTTTGATAGAGGTGACAACAAAGCTGAGTCTTAAAGGACAGGAGGTGGCCAAGCAAAGAACAGACTTTCAGGAAGAAGGAGCAGTATTGGGGACAGTGGTAAACCAGGTCGGGGGAGGAGCATGTAGTTCTCTTAGGCTAAGGAGTAGGGCCAGAAGCAAGAGACAGGAGATAAAAAAAACAAGCTTAGAGAACAAAACAGAGGCTATATAGAGGCCATATGCCATGGGAAAGAGTTTGCACTATACCCTGAATGCTCTTTGTGGGTCCTACAAGATTTCTGATAGGGCAATGAGCTCTAAACACATTGGATTTATCTCAGTTTCTCCAACACCTTGTTCTTTCCTACCTCAGGGCCTTTGCATGTGTTAATCCCTCTGGCTGAAGAGCTCTTCCTCCTTCTTTCCTTGGTTGGCTCCTTGATATCTTTCAGATGTCAGCTTTTAAGAGAGACCTTCCCTGACTTCCCTTTATAAAGCTTTTGCTATTTGTTTTATTCTTATCATTTATACCATTTATAATTTTAAAAATAATTTGTTTTACATGTTTTCAGCTGTCTCTACTTCTGAACTGTAAATATAGGTAGGGACTGTATCTTGAACCTGTAGCACAATGTCTGGCACACGGTAGGTGCTCAATAAATATTCGTTGAATAAATGAATGAATCTTCAGATTTGCCTGTTAGTGAGGCAGCTCTAGCTCAAGAGTGGAGAGTAGATTGGAGCGGAATCCGAGACTGATGGTAGAGACATAGTTAGGAGGCTTTTCCATCCAGCTGGTGAGAAGTGGGAAGACCCTGAGCCACGGTTGTAGGAGGGAGATGGAGACATACCTAGAGTCAAGAGTCACAGAATCAGTGGGGATTTGTTGGATGTGGGGGATTGTAAGAGGCAGGAGTTAGGGATGACACTAAAACATAGAAAACTAGGTGGATGAATGGCGGATGGTTCATTGAAACAGGGAATTCAAAAGAGTAAGAACAGGTTTTGGGAGGAGAAGAAAATGAGTCCAGCTTTGGATATGTGGAGTCTGAGAAAACCCGTGGGCTATCTGGATGGAATGTCCAACAAATACTTAGATCTATGGGCTTGGAACCCAGGAGAAAGATCTTGGCAAAAGATAAAGATTTGAGAGACATTGGCCTGTAGATTCATTCGTCTGCTCATTGAACAGATACTCACTCACTAACTGCTTTGTTTCAGGCATTAAGGATACAGTGGTGAACAAAACAAACATTATTCTAGTTTTCATGTAAATATTACTGTCTAGACTGGTAGCTGATGACATGGAAGTAGATGAAACAGCTTAGGAAACACACACACACACACACACACACACACACACACACACACACACGTATACAGGGAGCACAGACCCCGGAGAACACCAGCATTTAAGAGGTGGCCAAAAGAAAAGCGGCAACCTGGAGAGGGTGGTAGTTTGAGTGGATGGATGCAGAGGTCCTTCCCCTTGCCACGTCTTTGCACCAAACTCAACTTAGTCTTTAAAATACATTGCTTGCTTTGTGGTGGCAGGATTAAAGTGCATGTGTTTACATCCACTCTGAACAGGAATTCATGTTAGCTCATCCCTAAAATAAGGAATTTCAAAGATTGGAACCGAAACAAGTATCAGCCCGCAAGTCAAGTGATACAGACAGAGATGAGCAGGAGCTGGAGATCAACCCAGATTTTCCTACTCAGCTATGAATTTCCTTGTTATTGTTCTCTGTGTTTTAAGTCAGCCTTAATGTTCGTTGTGGTTGGATTTCCTTTGTTATGATCTGTGGGATAAATGTGATGTTAACTGTGTCCCAATAAGAAAGAAATGTTATGGTCTGTTTTGCCAAGGCTTCATTAGAGAATTTTTATTTTGTTTATTCATTTTTTTACCTTTCAGTTCTCTTAATCCAAGAAACAGCACCTTAGGCACTTACCAAATAAAAGCCAACGAAATACCTGGGTGTGAGTGGTTTTGAGAGGTGAAATTTCTTAAGCACATTTATGGGTGAAATTTTTCCATTTTACTTTAAAAAGCAGTTTACGATAATTCTATATCCTAAAAGTTAGAACTGTTTTATCTAAAATACCATAGACTGTGTGTTTGATATAAAGGTTAACTGAAAATTTTCTTTGAAATCTCAGTAAAAATCTTTCTTATGCAAAAATCCAATGTAACCAAAAGAAGACAAATAATCCGTAGGTCCATTTATAATCCCCCAAAACACGGTGATTTTTTACATGTGTTTATGTACATGACATTTAATAAATTTATTGGTGGATTTACTGTGCCACAGGTAAACTTGCTTCCCCTTTGTAGTGTATATAATCTAGCTTTCATCAATAACATACATTTTATTTATAGATTGTTATATATTCACATTGTCCTGTTTTCTTACATTGTATTTCTTAAAGGTATGTTTCTTATTTCAAAGAACAGTTATTTCAAAAATCCCTTCAGCCAACAACTTCTCCTCTCACCCAAATTTTAAAGCAAGTAAAGATGAAGCTGACCTTAGACAAATCTCTCAACTGGAATCTACCCGTGCAAGACTCCTGGCATCAGAAAATTTTAGAGGCAGAGAGGGAAACTACATATCATAGATTATGAATTCCTTGCCATTTGTTAAGTTTTATGTTTCTGAATATACCATAAAATTAAATGAGTGATTGGTGATAGACATTATATCAGATATCGGCAAGAAAATTAATTATATCTAGCAGAAATGAAGCAGACATAAAGTTCAAAGATTAAACCATTTTTGAACCATTGATTTATTTATACTTTCTCAAAAAAAAAAAATTAACCAACACAGAAAGCTCTTGTGTGTATAAAAAAAAAATCTACATTTTTATTTGTGCTCAAGAGAACTTATTTTCACATTTTATGAGTCAGGACTTGCTTTTTCTATTCTGGCTTTTCAAAAATTCACCCGTGGTGCCTCTAGAAATGAAGGGAACATCTTTAAATCTTGTTTGAGTTAAATGAATGGATAACTAATCTGGATCAGATTTTTTTTAGAGAATAATGTTTAAAAACTATTATGGAACTCAGCTCTCTGCCTGCTTCTTAGGTATGCTGTTTTCATCCAGATAGTTAAGGTCTCAGAGGTCACCCAAGGTAACCATTTATTTTGAATTGTCTTTTGTTTCAGATTTCCTGTTGAATTTTTTTTTTAACCATTTCAAAAATCAGCCAGTAGGTGTTGTGTCACAGCTTTCCACAACCTCCAGATTCAAACCAAAAACTAACTCCATAGCTAAATGACTGTGCCCTCCCACATAAACCCTAGCTAAGCAGAGAATGAGATTAGGCGTCACACTGTTTAATCATAGTGAAACTAATATTTAGAGTTCTATTGTAAAATGTCTTCTATTTATGACACTTTGTTTTCTTTTGTTTTTGTTTCCCCAGGACATTTGGGCTTCCAGGACAGTTTTGTCACATCAGGTGTTTTCAGTGTGACTGAGCTAGTAAGAGTGTCACAGAGTAAGTATAATTTTGCTTTGATTTGGTACAGATTTGCCTTGGGTTTGTGCATAGTTTCTGCCAAGGACTCCTAGAGACATACAGAGCTTTCAGAATCCCCTTTTCCTTTGCTCATTGGGAGAATTTTGACACACTGTCTGACTGCCAAGAATTTAAATCAGGAAAGATTAAATATTATTTTAACGTAAGATGGAAGGACCAAAATCCTGAGGGTCTCACATATTCTCTAGTTTATAGTGTGAACTTAGTTTAAAAAAATTCTGAGGCTTCCCCGAATTCTAAGAAATTCTGCATTTTAAAAGAATTTGTTTTTGACCTTTAAACAATGCTAATGCCCTCAGTGTGAGTGACATGGTACAGGATGATCATTACCGGCTTGTCGATAATCACTAACAACGGGAATGAGGAGTACCTGTCACCACCCTGTTCCATTGATCAAAGACCCATTGACTGTATTTTTGCTATGACATAATGTAGCAGGTCCAAGGACAAGTTATGTGATTCTCTCTCTCTCTCTCTGCCCCTCTCTCTCTCTCTCACACACACACACACACACACACACAGTTGCCTTCCCTAAAGAACGTCTTTTGTTTTTATTTAAAAGCGTATCTACGATAACTGTCACAGTCTAGGTGCCAATAAAAAGAAGGAAAAATAAATACCAAATACTAAAATTTTATTTTGTACCCCTCCACCTACTTCAAAATACCACTTGTAGGTAAAATTTACATTGTTGAAATTCGTTTCAAGCAGCATCTGGCCCTTTGTGGAATCAGGTGGAGTAAAAATAAATATTTTCATTTCAAGTTCATAGCCCCCATTCGCTTTGTTACAAGCTTGCAGGACTGACCGAGTAAGCCAGTCAGTCTCATGACAAGATGCCAGGTCAAGCAAGTCAAGCCATCCGGATTTCGCAAGCCCAGATTCTGTCTGTTCTTCTTTCAGTCATTCATAGGCTGGAAGAGTCTTGAGAGGCCAGAAAGTGATACACGACCTGGGTGCAGGGGAGAATCTAATGACTAGTGAGCATTTGCTCTCTGCCAGGCACTGTGCTAGGCCTTTGTCTGTTACATAAATTAATTCTGGCAATAAACTTGTCAGATAAGAAATCACTTCCACTTTTACAGATGAGTTAAATTGAGGATCTATTTATTTATCCAAAGTCAAGTAGTGGGTAAATGGTTAAGCCAAGTCTCTATCATAATGCTAGAATCCATACTCTTAGACTGGCCCCAGGGAACTTGAAGAAATCTACAATGTGAGACTAGACAGGGAAAATAGTGGGAAGGGAACTGTGGGTGTTAGAATTCTAGGAGTCAAGGACTCCTAGCTCGATGCTGAGGTGCTCCCGTGTAGAGGAGTGGGGATCCTAAGGAGTGAGGTATTGGGAGAAGCAGGTTGTGACTTGGACTGGAAAAGTTGCTGAAGCGTGCTTAAGGTACCAGCCAGGTAAGTAGAGACTGGATTGCTTTGTTAACCTGGAGGGTATATGCTGCCTAGTTATGGTGCAGCTGATTAACTAGTTATTTGCCATAGACAAATAACAATGCATATGCATATCTTTTGTTACTTTTTAAGACTTTTGAAAATGATAAATATCCTACTTTTTTTGTACTTTTAATAATAATAGTAATATAGGGAGTATATATTAGAGTATTCCTATCATGGTAGCATTACAGGGAAATACATTCATTGAGCCTTTACTGGGATTTAAACATAGCCTTAAAGAGTGAAAAGGAAATCCTTTTAACTCTGAAGAGTGGAGCACTAGACCATTTACGCTGGATGCTGTAATGTGTACGTTATCATCGGTGTCCCCAGGCCCGGGAGTTGTATGAGAAGGCCCAGGCTGTTCAGAACTGTCCCCGGCATCTCGTCCTTCTTCTGCTTCCTGAATTTTCCTGTAAGGTCTTCTATCCCAAAGCCTATCAGTTCCAAGCTTGATTAGACCTCCATTCAGTCTAAGATAGCATGGTTGCCAAGTGAATTCTAAACCTGCCTTCAAGACTGCCAGAGGGTATGGCCAGACAGGGATTGAATTTGCAGAGGGCCCTGGATCTGTTTCCTGTCCCCGTTTAGGGGACTGTATAGCTGATGCCTGGCATCATGAACATCCTTCAGCTCTTGGATGCTTTTTGATTCAGCACGCTGCTGTGTAATCGCTGTGGGACTCACTCACACATGGCCTCGTGCTGACTGAAACTGTTTGGCAAGAGTGGGTCTGGGCTGTGTCAGCAAAATCATGGCTTCGGGCCAAACTGGTTGACTGTAATCCAGAGACCCCTCTTTCTTGCAGATCTTCAATCTCAGTTTGTCAGGTATATTTCACAAGATTTCTATGGCTGCTGGGATAAGGATCCCCCAGCTCAGGTTTCCTCACCTACACACCTTTCTGTAAGACTTGATTCTCAAGCCACATGATGAAGTTGAGTTCTGCCTTCTTCCTCATGTCCCCATGATGGAAGAACTAAGCATGCATTTCAGAGCCGCAGTGGACACTTTTTGCAGATGAGCGGTGTGGGGGTGCATTCTGTATTCTTGAAGTAGAAATAAGCTAGCACATATGTTGATTAAACACATACTCCCTATTAGGAGTATGATATGATACCGATATGAAAAAGTATAGAAGCTAGCATTTATCAGGCATATACAATGTACCAGGCATTGTGCTGGGCACTTTATAAATATTTCATATGGTCCTCCCACATTTGGTGTTTGTGTCCCTTTTTATAGATAAAGGATACCATGATGCTCCCAAGAGGTGAAGCAACTTGCTCTTCCTCCTTGGCTGTACTCAGCTAGCCGACTGCAGACATTTTTGTCATGACCTCTCTTACAACTGTCTTATAGAACTAAATAGGATCCAAGGATTCTGTGCTTTTGTTGAATAATCAGTTCTTGTTGATTTGATAAACTCGTAGCTTATTAATTTGTGCATTTGAAAAAAAAGATTAAAACTATTTTCTTATAAACCAAAGCAAGTAAATACTTAATTAAAATTTTTTCCTGGATTTGTGTTCAGGTATGATTTTGTTTTTAATTAATAAACTTTTTTTAGAGCAGTTTTTTAGGTCTACAGTTTTAGTCTAACACAAAGTACATAAGTCCCTTATTCCCCTCCCCCCTAAACAGTTTCCCCTACTGTTAACATCTTTGTTAGTGTGGTTCATTTGTTATAACTCATGAGCCAATATTGACATGTAATTATTAACTGAAGTCCATAGTTTACATTAGGGTTCACTCTTGGTGTTGTACATTCTATGAATTTTGACAAATGCATAATGATATGTATCCACTATTACAGTATCATACAGAATAGTTTCACTGCGCTAAAAATCCCCCGTGCTCTACCTATTCACTCCTGCCCCTCCACCAACTGGTATTTTTATTCTCTCCATAGTTATGCCTTCCACCTGAGTGTTTTTTATTGTCTTCAGTGTCTTAGAATCTCTTCCACTGTTTCACACCCCCTCCCCCCATCACACCTAATTATGACCATCTATATGGCCTGGAAATTTCACTGCAATCACTAATGATGGCCTTAGCGTGACATTTTTCTCTCTTTCTGGATGTTTGGTATTCAATTTTTAAAATTTGCTAATATAAATATTTACTTTCCCCAGGTTTCCAGTTAGTTTCTGTTTTTAGTTTTCCTCCTTTTAAATTTAATAGAGGAGGGTGGTGCTATTTCAGTATTTCCCCACGAGGATTCACTGGAATAACTATGTGCTAAGTGTGTTGTTTATAATAGCGTTACTACTGAGGTGCAATGGCAGAGAAACTCAAGAGAAAACTGCTGGCTTAGCCTCGCGAATCTGGAGGTTGAGGGATCAGGCGACAAGGCTGCTTGACGTTAAATTCCACCGATCAGATACGCGGAGCTGCTGGGGTCAGGGACTCACTCCTGCCTGCTGACTGAAGCTGTAGTCTTCCACGAACTCCCCTCCTCCCTTGTCTCCTGCCCCCCACCCTTTAATTTTTTTGCATTATCATCTGAAGTCCATGAAAGGCAAGAAAGGAGAGTTCTGTTTCTACAGCACAGAAAGTACTATCGCGTAAAAATAAATCTCCATTTGTTCTCTTGCTACCCTTTCCCCCATGTGGTAGGACCATCTGAAAGTAGTTCTCGTTTTTATTACCTTGTTCTGGAGGAGGGGGAAAATACAAGCCACTAGACACTGCGCCAGAGAGAAAGAGAGAAGTACTCTCTGCTTTGGGGGAGGGGCTTTACAAGTGCTAACAATGTGGTTCAGAATCACTCAAGTTGTTTTAGCATAATACTATGAGGAAAGAGACAAGAACCATCTGTTGAAATGGCTCTTACATGATGCTGCATTTTCAAACAAAGCCTTGTAGAGGCATTTTCAGATTGGTCTCGTTCCCTTGAAGCTGCTACAAAGAGAGCCCACTCTACTGGCTGCTAAACGAGGCTGCTTAGATAGCTCTCTCTGTCAGCACCCACTCTTTTGTTTATTTTGCACCAGTGTTTTCCTCAAAGTATGTGCTCCGAGGCTGTCAAATATCGTTCCTGGTATGAACCCAGAAAGTTATCCTAAAAAAATCCACTACTTCTGCCCATTTCCTTCTAAAGTGCTGACTCTATTTTACTTGAAGTTGGTGGAGTGACTTCGAAACCTTAAATACTTCACTGGGAAAGAGGAAAGCCGCAAATACACACAGTCCATTGTGACTCTGGCCTGGTGGGCTCTAATTTTCCAGCAGTGGTTTGTACACCCAAGCCGGCTGCAAGGGTTAAGTAAACTTCGTGGCTAAGGATGACTTCATGGCCCTGGAATTTTGAAAAGCCAGGATTCTCAGTACACTGTGGCCAGCCTTAGAGTCTTTGGGTGTGAAAACCACTCTCAGTTACCCAGACTGAGTTTTGGTTCCTGTTGCACTGCTGCAGAATCTATTAAAATCCAGGAGCCGAACTGTCCTGGCTCTGCCACAAAACTCAGCTGCTGGGTCGACTACAGGATTCTCGAGTTGTTTGTCAATGG